TTTGGTTGGGCAGCGCGTGGGTGCTGGCCTGCGGAACGAGATGAGGGTCGGGAACTCCCTCCTGGCTGAGGACGGTTACTGAAGCTTCTTTCCACGATTTGCGCCTTTGCTAGGACTGCTGAATAGGTCTTGAGCTCCAATACTACCAAGTGTTGCCTGATCTCTGGGCGGAGACCTGACTGGAATCTCCTAGCCTTTCGGCCCTCATCCATCAATGTCTCTGGGGAGTATCGGCCTAGCTCGAGGAACTTACAAGCATACTCTGATACTGTCATGTTTCCCTGAACTAATTGAACAAACTTCGTTTCCTTTAGGTGTCGGATGTGGTCAGGGAGATACTCCGCATGGAAGGCCGTTAAGAACTGCTCCCAAGTGACTGGTGTAGGCAGGGTGGCCTGCTTGAGCTCCCACCAACGTCCTGCTTTCCCTACTAGCATGAAGGAAGCTAGGGCAGCTCTCTGCTCAGGGACTACTCCCAAGATCCTGAAAGCTCTCTCAGTCTCTGCCAGCCAGTACACGGCCTCTTCGAAAGAGGATCCTCCTACAAAGGTGGAGGGGTTCAGTCTCCTGTACCTCTCTATGTAGCCCGAGTCGATCAAGGAATGAGTGGGGTCCCGTGGAGGAGGGACTGGACCCGGCTGGGGATAGATTGTGGGGCCCTATGGTGGCACGTGCTGAAATGGTGGGGGCACCGGATTGTAGTATGGCGGTGCCGGGCAATACGGTGGCTGGGGCACCGGTTCATACTGCGGTGGTGGTGCCGGGTGGTACTGTGGTGGAGCAGGCTCGTGCCGGGGTGGCTCGGGATCCGCTTGCTGTAGCGGTGGCTCAACCCGTGGTAGTGGGGGAGGTTCAGGTAACTCCCTTCTCTCCTCTTGACCTTGCTGGGCGGCCATGATCCTTTCGAGCATCTCAAATATTCTGTCCACATCTTCCCGAAGGGAATCATCTCGGGCTGCTCGGTTTAGTGGGGGTCTTCCTCTCCTCATCTCTCTGCACCTGCATTTCATAAGGAATGGTTGAGTAACGGTTTATCGGTAAATATTTCTCTAAGCATTATTGTGTAAGGGATGGGTCCGGGGAACGCGGCTCTGTTACCAACTATAACAGCCCCGGAAATTTAAATGAAATATATGTATTAAAAATGTCAAATGCGGAAGCGTGATAAAAATTTTGACTAACATCCCTTACACAATAACCAAAACGTACTCAAAATATGAAATTACAAACTAACTAAAAGAGAAACTCGAAAATAAAAACTATAAATATAACTACGAAGTCTTTAGGCGTTCCCTTCGTCGTCTTCCTACGGAAGGGGCTCGGGAACAATGTCTTCCTGATCTGAAATGGTTAAATAAAGGAATGAGCTACACCAGCCCACTAAAGATATCACACTATCTCACCGCCACGAAGGTAAAGGTGGGTAGAAAATACAAAAAGACCAATGGAGCATAATTTATAACAAATTTTTTTATCAAAAATAAAATCCTTTACTGTCCACTTATCTCTGTGAAGTTCATAAAACAACATACGAAAGCAATAACATTATCATCATCATGAAATCATATGAACTGTATAACATAATACTTACCACGCATTTGCATTTCAATCATTACACAACATATTTTTCCTCATTTACCAGCCTACTAGTATCCATGGGGATCCATAGGGGTCCCGTTACCCGTGAACCCTTAACACTTGTAATCAAATTCCAGGGCTGTCCCCATACCCCGTCCGGTATGGGCGCCAAAACCATAAACCTCAATACCCCGTCCGGTATGAGGGTGAAACAGGCTGTCCCCATACCCCGTCCGGTATGGGCACCAAAACACATAAGGTCTCCATACCCCGTCCGGTATGAGAGACCACAATCCCGATAGGGTTCCCTACGGACCCAGTCCGTCCACCATCTCCCAAGATATCTAGTTAGGAAGAGTACATTATCGAATTCTCAAGGTAGGTAACCATTTCCTCCCTTGTTCCTTATTCAGCATCATCAAGTCACACACAAACAAGCAAACCAGTAATTTATGCCATGCAAGGCAACACACAACATCGGGTTCTCAGTCATTCAACCCATAATCAATAAAACAGTGATATATACACATGAAATTATGAAATGAAAATATCAGACCTCATACTGCATTTAAAACTGTAAAATAGGACAAACAACAGCTGAGCGACAAACACACCAGACTCGGGCTCCATTAGCGATCTTAAACAATTTCACACATCTATTGATTCATGAAATACCGTTTTATCATTTATTGAACTTTAATACCGTGATAGGAAATAGGGTGAGAGGTCCTTACTTGTTTCGGGTTCTGAATACAGCTCTACAGTGCGCCTACAGGCTGTCCATAATTTTCTCTAAATTTTTTCCGGGGAGCTGAAATGCACTACTAGTACCTACACGTGTCCTAAAAATCCTAAATTAGGCCTAGGGCCCCTTTCGGCCAATATCACAATTCCGGCACGGCGGCTCTGCCGTGCTCCGGCAACGAGCGGCGGCGATTCGCCTTGGGTTTGCTGTTTCCGGCCGAATTCGGCCACACTTGCATCGGTCCCTGTGATAAAACAACCCTAGAGCCCTCGGTGGGCCAAAAAATCACGAAAAACCGAAGCTTACCGGCGGCGGTGCTCTCGGGTGCGGGGGCTCTCCGGCGTGAATCATGTTTTGGTGATTTGGCTCTGGTCAACCTGTAGAGAAAAGAACGGTGATCACAGTGGTATAAAATTTGCATCGAACGGAGGCCGGGAAGGGCCTCATCGGATGCAAAAATCAAGGAGGGGCGCGGCAGTGCCGCTGGGTTTCGGCTGAGTTTTCCGGCCGTTTGGCCGGTGGTTTGGCTCCAGTTTGGCCATAGGCGGACTCAGCGTCGAAAAACGAGCAAGGGGGAGAAAAATTACCTCGATCGGCGGTCAGAAATTTCCCCGGTTCGGCAGCGGGTGGCGGCGGCCGGCTCCTCCGGTGACTGGTTCTTCTTCTCCGGCGAGCACTGGCGGCTAGGGTTTCTTTGGTCAGGTGTGGGTGGGAGTATTTATACCCTTCACCTTTTAATCTTGACCGTCCATCAAGATTGAATCTGGGTCGTTCGATCGCGAATTAATTGGGATTAAATCTGAGTCGTTCATCGCGATGCAATTTGGGCCGTCCGTGCGCGTGAATATGGGCCGTCCATGCGCACGTTTGATTTGGGCCGTCCGTGCGTGCGGGAACGGATCTGTGTCGTCCGATCGCGCGCACGCGGATCGCCCCCGTGGCCCGTCCCCTGGTCAGCGTGTCCTTGCCACGCGGCGCGTCCTGGTTGGCCGGGGCTGCTGACCGGGCCGCTGACGTGGCACAACTTTTCTAAATTACGTTTTGACCCCTGGTTTCCGATTTTCTTTTCAAAAACACCCCCATAACCCAAATTTTCACCCATTTTTTCCAAAATCAATTTCAATTAAATCCAAATAATATTTTTACCCAATTTTATCATTATTATTATTTTTATTTTTATTAAATTAAATTAAATAAATCAATTAAAATTTCAATAATTACAAAATAAATTAAATAAAATAAATTAAAAATTAATAATAATAATAATAAAATTAATGGGTGTTGCATGCGCCGACGTGGAGATTGATGTCGGGGAGGAAGAGTTCTTATTCTCTGCTGCGCGATCTATGGAAGAATGGTGGGGTTGTCGGGGAGTGAAGGAAGGAGATAAGATTTAAGAGGTCGGTTTAAGGTGGAGAGGCAGCAGGGTTTCAAGTCGTATCTAATTGGATAAATTAATGTTATTAATAACAAAAAAATTTAAATGAAGTCTTTTTAAAAAATATATATATAAAAATAAATAATACAAAATTATATTATAATTAAACCAAAACTGTAATGGAGCATGGTGAGGAATAATTAAGAAAATTACTAAAACTGTTGGATAGAACAATATTTTTTCGAAAAATTTATTTATTTTAATAATTAAATAACAAAATATTCTCAAAAAAAAAAAGAAAAAGAAAAATTATGGTAGTAATATCCAAATGCGACGTGAGCCACCAAGAAGTCACGAGGGAGCACAACGGGCCTCACACGTGGACGGACGCAGTTACTCCCCCTCTACCCACAACCACAATCTGACTGCCACGTGTCGACACAGCTCAATAGTTTAGCTGTCCGTTATATCTCTGCTTGTTGACTCTTAACGACTGGTATCATCATCGGACGGCAACGATTGATCCTTATTGGTTTGCATGGTGATCGTGATGTCACTCTACTATGTACCTGCTGAGGTACTTACCATTTGAAAGCAGCATATATTTATATAGATGTACGTTTCATTGTTGGATTTGATTTTAAATCTCAATATAATATATATAATACGAATATTATATTGAGATTTTAAATTAATCCCATCAACAAAAAGTAGGTTATATTACACTGTTAACAAGGCAAATCAATAACAGCTTATAATGTTAATTAATTATGCCATGAAAATATAAACACCATCGAAGACGTCAAACAAAATATTGCACGCCGGCCTCAACACACATCACACCTGGCTCGTCGTCAATGTCCAATTAAAATATATGCCAGGAACGACTTTGTCAATCTCACCCGCTACTCTCTCAATACATATATATATATATATATGTATAAATACATACATAATTAATTAATTAGCCTTTACCCGTTTAGCAACCATCGCCACCCTGCACCAAATCAGTTCTTACATCAATTCCTCCTCTCATTCTTCTTCTTCTTCCTCTTCCTCATACACCAACTCCAATAAATATATACCATAAAGATCAAGTGATCAACATCCAGTCTATGCATATTCCTGATATAGTAAATCAAACCCTTTTCTTTCGAGGCTTTGATTATTAGCTTTTTATATACATATATATATATATAAATACGTTTCAGGGAGTTATATATGGCTGCTAATAATTATGACTGCGGGATATTAAGGAGAATTTCGTTGGTGGTGATGACGGCGTTAACATTTTTGGCAGTGGCAACTCACGGTGCAAACGAGACTGAGGTCCTTCTCAAGTTCAAGAGCTTACTGTCAAACACGTCGGCAATAGACAACTGGTTGGGGCCTTCGCTGCCGTGCAACGGCAACTCTTCCAACTGGAAAGGCGTGCGGTGCAACGACGACGGAACGACCTTCGGATTGAAGCTGGAGAGGATGGGACTGACGGGGATGATTGACATAGACTCGTTATTACAGCTGCCCAACTTGAGAACGCTTAGCTTCATGTACAACAACTTCGACGGTCCCTTGCCGGACGTCAAGAAACTGACGGCGTTGAAAGTGCTGTACTTGTCCTACAACCGGTTTAACGGCGAGATACGGGACGATGCATTTGAAAGCATGGATGCTCTGAAGGTTCTTCACTTGGCGAGAAACGAGTTTTCGGGTCCGATTCCGAGATCCATAGTGGTGTTACCAAGGCTGCAAGAACTCAGCCTTGAAGGTAACCGGTTTGATGGGCGGATACCCGAGTTTCCCCAGAAGGGTATCACCGTGGTTAATCTGGCTAATAACCTTTTTGAGGGTCGTATTCCGTCTTCTCTTAGTAAGATGAGTTCAACCTTTTTCACAGGTAATTTTCTCTAAATTCTTTCTTTCTATTTTGTTTCTTTTCAAGTTATTTTATTTTATATGTTTAATTGAAATTGAATTTCACCTATAAATAATATCAGAATCAAAATCTGATAAAGAAAAAAAGGTGCAAGTAAGTCGGCTAATATATATATATATATATATATATATATATATAGATATAGAATTTGGAGATCATAT